TCTGTGAAGTTTTGGGGATGTAGGAGTTGGACTCTGTGATCCCTGTGAGTCCCTTCCCACTTAGGATGATCTTTGGCTCTCAGGGCTCTCTCCTTGGACAATCAGGTGCTCCAAGGTCTGATCACAGGGAGCCTTGGGATGCAGGAGCAGCTCCTGAGCCTGGGAATCCTGGGAAAAGGGACTGGGACCTGGGAATTGGAATAGGGACTGGCTGTAGGGAGCTGGGAATGGGGAGCTGGGAATAGGGACCTGGCTGTAGGGAGCTGTGAATAGGGACTGGGAACAGGGACCTGGGAATGGGGAGCTGGGAACAGGGACCTGGCTGTAGGGAGCTGGGAATAGGGATTGGGAACAGGGACCTGGCTGTAGGGAGCTGGGAACAGGGAGCTGGGAATAGGGATTGGGAATAGGGACTGGCTGTAGGGAGCTGGGAATAGGGACTGGGAATGGGGATTGGGAACAGGGACCTGGGAATAGGGACTGGGAACAGGGAGCTGGGAATGGGGAGCTGGGAATAGGGATTGGGAATAGGGACTGGCTGTAGGGAGCTGGGAATAGGGACTGGGAATGGGGAGCTGGGAACAGGGACTGGGAATAGGAACCTGGCTTTAGGGAGGGCAGTGGCCCCAGGGGAACGGTTCTAGCCCGGATTATTGGGACAGTGCAGACACTGCTGGATTTCCATGGTTTAGGACATTTCCCAGGAGTGTGGCAGGGTTTGGTGCTGGACAGAGCACTGAGGCCGGGACAGGGACTCGTTTTGCTGGGGAGCTCCAAAGGGGTTTTGCTGCCTCGATGATTTTGGCATTAATTGTCACCAGGGGTCCCAAAGTCTGCAGATGAGTGTACAGAATTCAGGAGAGATGCAGGGATCTTGCAGAAAAGGTGAACGCTGCTGTTCTGTGGTTATTTCTCTCCCTTAAAAGTCTTTTGTCATCCTGCAGAAGGAATAATTTTTAATATGGAACGGTCCATTTTTAAAATAAACAGGATGAAAAATGAACTTATTCCATATTGTCCCGTGGCTCTCCAGAGAGCTTCCTGTAGGTATTTACCACAGGACTGGGCACATACATCTTCATTTGCTCCCTTTCCAATATCTCCTTTCCTAAGGAAAAAAAAGTGAAACAAAAATAATAAAGAAATGCAGGAATTAAAATGTATGAGGAGCTGCCAGGATGGAAAGTGCTGCTAAAGAGCCTGAGCAGGGAGTTTGGGATTTATTTCAGGGAATGGGCAAGGACAGCACCTGGATGTGATGAGTCAATCCGGGCATACTCCTTGGAATCATGGAATCATTTCTTCAGCCTTGGAGCAGCCCGGGCCCGTGGGCCATGGCAGGGGTGGCACTGGCTGGGCTTTAAGGTCCTTCCCACCCAAACCAGTCTGGGCCTCTGGGATTAACATAAACACGGCTGCCCTTTAATTAATCCCAATTACAGCCAGGGCAGAGCGGCAGTCCTTGGAGGTGATGGAATAAAAACTCCTGGACACGTGGGGAGGGGATGAGGACTGCAGGCCCTGGGCTTGCCAAAACCCCCAAGGGCTTCACCAATAACTCCTTGTCCTGCTTCACCAGTAACTCCTTGTCCTGCTTCATCAATAACTCCTTGTCCTGCTTCACCAGTAACTCCTTGTCCTGCTTCACCAGTAACTCCTTGTCCTGGCTCCCTTCCCTGGCCAGATTTTCGAGCAGTTCGTCAAGACCCGGGTCAGGGAGGAGTACAAAGAGAAGAAGAACAAGTTGCTGTTGGCCAAGGAAGAATTCAAGAAGCTTCTGGAAGAATCCAAGCTATCCCCAAGGTGGGCGTTGCCTCAGGAAGGGTTGGGAAGCTCGGCTTTGTTATTCAGGCTGAGCTTTTCAGCCCTGAATTCTTCCTAGCAAGTGGAAGTGCCTCTTCCAATGCTGGGGTGGCATCTCTTCCCTGATATTTCCCAGTATTCTGTTGTGTTCCTGGGAGAGGAAATATTCCATCTGTCTCTCCCTGTCCCTCCTCCTCTCCCTCTCTCCCTCAGAATGTGCAACACTTTTCACAGCACATTTATTTTATACTCCTGTATACGCTGGGATTATAGAACACACATTACTTATGGAAAATCAGTACCACAATGTTCATTCTCATCCATATTGCACATGCAGGTGTAATTACTCAGAAATTGTATTTAGTCCTGGGGTTTGGTGGAAGAGAAATATAATTTCTCCAAGTTCCTGTTAATGCCACGCCATTAAATTCATGGAATGTGTCCCTGCCCATGGCAGGGGGGTGGAACAAGATGATCTGTGAGGTCTCTCCCAGCCCAAACCCTTCTGTGACTCTACAATTCCGTGATTAAATTGAAATACAGCGTGCAAGGCACAATTTATGTCTTACCTTGTTTTTGTAGTGGTGGATCCAGACTCACACAGTGGCAGTGCTTAGGGCAGTGCTTTCTCATTTGTAAATTACATGAAAATAAAGGGGTTTATGTTATAAATATTGCTAAACTGCTGGAACAAAGAAATTACTGTTTTCTCTGATAAAACATGCAGATAACTATTCAGCATGACCTGCGTGGGCACACGGATCCAAACAGCACGTGGGGCTGTAATAATTGTAATTACAAGAAACGTTTTACAACAAAATCAGGAATATTCTGGGCTGATGTCCCACCCAAACCCTGCTTCCAGCACTGCTGTTCCCAGTCCCCAGGGGAAGAGCTGTGCTGGCCCAGAGGCCAGGAGCATTCCATGCCTGAAGGGTTTTGGGAGCTGACTGTGACACAAAGCACTGAGGAAGCTCCTTTCCCTGCCTTGATTTAGGCACGCAAGGAGAGGAATAAATCCCAAATATTTCCAATAAAAAGCAAAGAGTCACCTTGGGGAAAGGAGCTGGGCATGCAGCCTGGAAGGCAATGAAGGTAGAAAGCCCTGCTAGGAGAGAGCTCGCTGTGGAAATGCAGAGCGGGCAGGAGCTGGAATAAAAACTCCTTGTCCTGGTCAGTGAGGTGCCATTGGTGCCAGCCCCAATCCCTGTGACATCCCAGAGCTCGTCCCTGCTCGTTGCAGTGCTCCAGGTGTCCAGAGCCTCTGTGTGGGCTCACCTCCCTCCATCCCCCGTTCTCCATCCTGCTCTGTTACTCTGAATTCTAAAAGGGTTAAGTTTTCTTCTACAATTCTTTTAAAAGTCTTAAAGTTCTCATAAAATTCCTTCAACCTTCTGATCTGTTTATATATTTCTACTGGAGTTCTCACACACTGTTCATATACATAATAATTGTTTTACATTCCTCTTTGTAAGAAGAGAGAATTAATCAACTGTTGGTTTAATCAGTGTGACTGGAGAAGTAGTAATTCCATCCTCTAATTCACAGTTACCTCTAGAATTCTATAAATATCAAATACTTAAATAAAATACTTTTCTTTTTAACCTTTAAACTTACCAAACATTTGTATACCTTTGTGTCCAATAACAGCATCTGGACTTAACACTTTTAAAAATCAGAGTAACACTGCTCCTGTCCAACATTGCCATGCCCTCATTTTTGGCGTGGGTCCAGGTGCAGGAGCCTGGGGGTGGCAGGTTCAGCCAAAATCTGACTTTCCACAAAGCAGCTTCCCAAAATCTGGTTTTCCACAGGACAACCTTCAAGGAATTCGCCGAGAAGCACGGCCGGGATCAGCGCTTCCGCCTCGTGCAGAAGAAGAAGGACCAGGAGCATTTCTTCAACCAGTTCATCCTCATCCTCAAAAAGAGGGACAAAGAAAACAGGATAAGGCTACGGAAAATGAGATAAGGGCAGCTGGAGCTGGCAATAAAGGCATGAGCCCGGGCTGGGGCCGTGGGAAAGGTTCCAAGGAAGGAGGGACGCCCGGGGCCACCAGCAGCACCCGAATTCGGAGGAGCCAGGGAAAACCTCTGAACGGAGTCTGGGGAGCGCCCGCTGGATTTGGGAAGGCTGTGCTGCAGGAATGGGAAGGATATTTTGTTCTCAAAGAATTAATGTTTCATATTGAAGCTCTCTTTTGTACAACATCCAGAGTTTGATGCATTTCTAATTGCCATGATATGTCGATCCCTTAATTGTTTTAATTATGCAAATTACTTGTAATATACACAAGTTATGACTCCAATGCAGATTTATAATTAAGCAGAAGCAGATGCCATCCAGAGCAATCTCAAGGCATTTCCATCATTTAGGGGAATTATCTCAAGCGATCTTTTGGCAACTCTGCATCTCCACCAAGTGTGTGGGCTCTGGTGGTCTGCAGGATCCGCTCCCGCTGCTCATCGTCTGTCCAGTCCTGAGTAGTAGTAATCAGCTGTTAATTGTTGATCTTGGTGAAGAGTGTGAAAACCTTGGCACATGTTCCTTAGGAGAACTCTCCGACCCAGACCTTGCCGTGGGCGGGGTCCCCCTCAGCCTTCCAACCCCAGTTCTGTGCTGAAGCCATCCCAGTGGGACTTGGGTTCTGTTCCTGTGTGTGAAGAGTCTGCATGAGATTTTTCTCATCCTATTTGTATAAATAAATATTTAACTTTTGTAATTAAGAAGCATTTCAAGCCTGATTTCAGGGGCAAAACTTTTTTTGAAGAGTTTTTTGGGGTTTTTTTTTGTCAGAACTCAAGTGGAAAATGCTGTCAGGGATGGGGGCAGGGGGTTGTTGGGATGTCTGTGCAAGGCCTGGGGTTGGACTGGATCTTTGTGAGTCCCTTCCAGCTCAGGATACTCTGGGATTCCAGGAAATAATGTGGGCAATGTGAAGATGTACAAAGGATGATTTTGGGAGGTTTTGGTGGGTTTGGGATGGTTTTTTTCTCTGCGTTTTAGCCTCCCAACAAGGCTACAGATGTTTTGGTGGTTGAGCAAGAGTTAAAGCCATTTTGGCTCTCTTTTTGAAGTGCTTTGTGACTGGTTTTTTTTTTTTTTTAGTTTTTTTCTTTTTGTTTTGTTTTCTTGGGTTTGGTTTGGTTTGTTTTGTTTTGTTTCCGTTCCGCTGGGCTGGGGTTTGGTTTCTGTTGTGCTGTGTGCTGTGCTGGGTGATCTCGTGCCGAGCTGAAGTGGAGCCAGAGAAATGAAAACAAACGACGGCACAGCTCCCAGGAGATTCCGAGTTTCCTCCCCTGGATTCACAGCGAGATGCTCTGGGGTTGCTTCTGCCAGCAGCTCCAGGTGATTTGTGCTCCAGTTGTGGTTGTGTTTCCCTGGCAGTGCTGCTGGCACTGGCCATCGCTGCCTCTCCCGGGCTCTTCCCATGGAATTCTCTTTCCTCGGAGCTCTCTTGGGTCCTGGCACTTTTCCGTGGGTTTCTTCCACCTGGGCTTGTTGTGTTTCAGTTCTCCACAATGGGAAAGGAAATGGGAGAGACTGGGAATGCAGAAATGGTGCTTTTCCTTGGAAAGGGGATGGAGTTTTCCCTTGCTGCAGAGAGAGACCTGGAGCTGGCTTGGAGGAGAAGTTCCTCTCAGGCAGGGAACTGGCTTCAGCCCTGACTGGATGCTTCCATTTGTCAAAATTGCTCTAAACTCAACCTTTTTCCTCTCCTTTGAGGGAGGAAGGAGCCTACAACTGCTTTTTGACCCGTTGTATTTCCTTATCCAGGTGCTCAGCAGGTCTTGGCCTTGGCAGAGAATCAAGGATTAATTTTTGTTTATTTGTTTTTTTTTTTTTTTTGCAGTCAGAGAACTGATCCTTTGCTCTCAGTTTCACTGCAGACCACAACCCCATCCCTTTTCTTTCTTCTTCTTTAATATAAGCAAATAATTTGCCAATAAATATTTAACTCTGAGGATAATTTTCAAGGTAAATCATTGAAAGGTCTGGCTTGGAAGGGACCTTAAAGATGATCTCCTTCCCCCCAGTGCCTTCTGTAGCTGATCATTTTGGAGTTAGCTACTGATAAAAATGAAGGGTTTGATAAAAACAAGGCAAAGAAATCTTTGCCAGTTCACTGAACATTCTCTGAACACTCCTTTCTCAACTTGTTATTTATTCCAAGAGAAAAAAACCTGCCTTTGTAAATTCAGCTTGCTTGAGCTGCACATTTTGGGCAGCTTTTCAAGGACACCGGGGTCCCCAGTTCTGCTGGGAGTGCTGGAAGGACTCAGGGAAATCTTTCCAAATGAACTTTTCCACACTTACCTGTTGGAATCAATGTGGCCATCGCTGGTTTTGGAACAATGACACCAGGTGGGGATTAACCATTAAATTCCCAGAGCTGCTGTGGATCCCTGGCAGTGCCCAGGGCCAGGCTGGAGCAGCTGGGACAGTGGGAGGGGTCCCTGCCATGGCAGGGGTGGCACTGGCTGGTTTTGGGGTCCCTCCAACCCAAACCAGGCTGTTCTTAGGTCAGGCTTTACCCCACGAAACAAAATATCTTTTTATTATATATTTCTCCTTTTTCTCCTTTGAAGAGAAAAGCCTTTCGCTGGAATCACAGCAAAGCTGTGCTTCTGCTTGGAACAGGCACTGCCTGCAAAACAAGAATTCATTTAACTTTAAAGAGCATTTTTAATAAAGACCTTCTCCATCTGAGTGGGCTGTGAGTGTAGGCACGGTAGGCTGAGACTTTCAAGGCCCGTGTTTTGTTTGTATTAAAAATAATTTTCCCCTCAGATGTGATGTTTTTCCTCCTAAAAGAATAAAATATTGATTTAATAATTCAGAAACAGTCAGCTGCAGGTTGATGTGTCTGCATCTTCTGCCCAGATCTCCTTACAAATTGCAGCGTGTGTTTTTAGGGTTTTATTGTGAAACAAACGCTGCTCCTATATTCTCCAAAATACCCCGAGCAGCTGAGATGTTACAAAGGCAGGGGAAATCCTCTTCCTGCAGAGCCTGACCCTGCCCGGGGCTGGGGGAACAGCTCGGGGGGCTCTGGGGAGTGCCCATCCCTGGGGATAATTCATGCTTTGTCTATTCCAGCCTGCTCTTACAGGCTCTCAGAGACAAACATCACACCTTTAATAGCTCAGCTACCTCAGGTGGCACAAAAGTAGCAGGATGGCTCCTGTGACAGTGCTGGAAACAAAAAAGTTTTAATAAAAGGCAAAATAAAAAAGCTCTTTACAGAGATAAACCCAACCAGGGCAAGAGGTTCTTGCTCCTGCTAGAACACTTCACAAAAAAGGTTTACTTATTTTGTTTTCTTCTTTTTCTAGGGAATTGCTTAGGTGGGACTTTTTGGCTCTCCTTACGTTTGGGGTGAAGTCCCCAAGGTGCCATGAAGTGTCTTTTAACCAAATTGAGGAGAGAAACATCTGGGCTTTTGTCCTTTTTAAGGGGACAGAGGGTAACTTGTTTACTCCTTCAACAGGGGACACGTTCCTACAGGTGACATCCCTGTGGAGGTGGCACTTGGGGACACACGGGGCAGCGATGCCCGGGAGCTCCCCGTGCCAGGGGCTGGGCACGGGCACAGAACGAAGCAGGGATTGATGAAAAGCCCTCCCAGGACACACCCTGGGCCCTGCAGGAGCCCGGCCCAGGAGCTCTCACACTTTTATCAGTTCTGCTCCATTCCCACATCGGGCTCAGTGCCCAATTCCAGCCCCAGGTGCTGCAGTCCCACCCTCCCAGGCTGCTCTCCTCCATTCCTGCTGGTTGCACTTTTTGGGGCTGGAGCTGCAGCGTGTCCTTGGCTCTGGGCTGGTTCAGGATTGTTCTGGGTGCTG